TGTGGTGCAACCATTGTGTGTTAATGTCAAACCTGTGAGGCCGGCAGAGCTGAAATATCGACAACCTGTTTGCCGTGAGTTGCTCCCCTTTGTTGGTGGAGGACCGGACTGGTTGGGGGAACAGCTTCTCTCCCCAACATACCACTTTGACCCTAACTGTAGAGTGAGTGTAGTTTTACGCCGCTTTTAGCAATATTTCAGCAAAATCACGGCTGGGAACACCAGAAATGGACTTCACACATTGTACCTATGTGGGGAATCGAACCCGGGTCTTCGGTGCGACGAGCGAACGCTTTAACCACTAGGCTACCCCACCGCCCCCTTACTTTAGACGGGTGGTAGAATGGACCCGGTTCTATCAATCGACTGGTCATGCCAAGCCCTGTGTATTTATATATTGCACAAATTTAAAAAAAATAAAAACTTAAAAACCACAAATTCCGTCAGATATCTTAGTTCATGATGTTATATTTGAATTTCAGATGAGCAGCTTGGGGTTTGAAGTTGATAGCGTCCTATGTCCAGGGGGCAGTGTCTTATGGACCAGCCTGCTATCAGCATATATACTCTCCCAAAAAAGAAACGCATATAGGAATTTCAACTGTATTTTGATGTTTAGTTTGAAACATCTTGTAGTCAATGAAACGTGAGTCAATGAAATATAGCGAAATTGCACACTGGGAATTCAGACTTATCCGTCTTTGGCACCAACTCGAGGAAAGTCAGTTTGAGTGTCACATGGAGACGTGTGGTGGCGCTGAAGTCAATACCTCGTGTGACCACCGTGGGCATCCAGAACTGCACGGCATCGCCTCGGCATCGAACGAAGAAGTCTCAGAATCTCGTGTTGCCCAATCGCAGCCCACTCTGCCTGTAGTGCCTGTGCGAGTTGCTGAAGTGTCTGGGGCTGAGGGTTACGGCGTCGCACCCGTCTGTCCAGGGCATCCCACAGATGTTCGATCGGGTTTAAGTCCGGTGATCTTGAGGGCCAGGGGAGCACCTTGATGTTGTGGTTCTGGAGGAAGTCTCTAGTGTGACGTGCTGTGTGGGTGAACATTCATGCGTCGGGCAACTGCACGTTGAGACTGGCCAGCTTCAAGCAAACCGATGGCGATATGACGGTTGGCTTCACTTAGACGTAGCATTTTGCGTTCGTCAACAATATTCCAAATACAGTGAATAATCGACAGACAGCGATCAACCTTTTATACCCATCATTGAGACTATCTGATCCCATAAACAGAGCAAAACCTTTTGTAAAATGAATCACGTTTTAATTCATTGCTACATGAAATTGCTATTTTCATGATGCGTTTCTTTTTTGGGAGAGTATATGTTTGTTGGAGTCCCGGTTATGGTCTCTGCACATAGAACGCTGAACACCAGCAAAGGTATTGCTAAAGACCGTTATCGTGTGTGTCTGCAGATATGACGGAGATGGATATTGTGTCCGGGATGAAAGATCAAACAATGATACATGTCAGAAGATTTACAACCCGCAAAAAACAACACCTGAAATACGGACATGGTGGGAACCTGCACATTGCCTGTTGCATGTGACCACTGTGCTGAGAATACACATGTAACAAATTTTGACAGTAATTAGAGAAATGCACCAACAGCTTAGAAAAGCATTCATCCTTTTCTAAAGATTGTCTAGCTTGGAAAAGGAGATGGAAATGAACAGAATTGAATTTACCAGAAATATCAGTTTGCTGAAACCAAACCGTTTGTACAGTCCACAAAGAAACCTATGCTTCCATCGCCAATACACCATCTGAAAACTACACCAAAGGTAAATTACTTTTTCAAACTACTGCCAAACAGACTTGACATGGGTAAACACGGATACTCCCAAACTCTTTTCTCCTGAATAGTCCACTCGGATAGCAAAATCACCTCCTGACCATTAGAATCTCTCTCAAGAATACTCTACCCCACAAACTCGATCTCAACGTGAAAGAAATGCGAAACAAGCAGTAAAATCCTTAATCAAACCATGAAAAAGGAACTCCCAAACCAAATCGAGACTCTAAGGGGTCAAAGAAAGTGTAGCTTCCTCAAACAACCCCGCAAAAAGATGTTGCATCTCGAAATATTTTTCACTGGAATTGTAGAGGACTAAAGACTAATGCAAATGAACTACATCTGAAAATCCAGGTTTTTATGCTATCAGCATTCTGTCTGCTGGAAACATATCTGAAGCAGACAAATACGTTTAACCTTTGCGGAAGTGATCACTATATTCTATAAAATAAATCCATCTGATACTCCAACTACTATGAGATGAATATTTTTAACGGCTTAACTGGACCTTGTTTCAAGCTATATCCAAATCTAAACTACGACCTGAATGTTTTTTGTGATATAGCTGATCATAGGTATTTTCTGACGTTGCCAATGAAATAGCTGATGAATGTATACCAAAGTCTTCTACAAATCCACATATTCGAAAGCCATGGTATAATGCAGATTGTAAACAAACAAGGAAAGCGAGGAAAGAGGCAGAGAATTATTTCCGCCTTCACCGAACTATCCATAAATATAAAATACTAAATACCAAAGCTCGTCGTACGTTCAAACAAAACAAACGGCAGTCGTGGCGAAACTGTTTCCGAAAATAAATTCGCGAACACCAGTGTCCGAAGTTTGGAATATGGTGCAAATGATAAACGGCAAAGGATAAAAATATGGTGCTCACCATCTTAAGAATGTTGACACACTATTAACCTTAAATCTGACATAGCAAATATATTAGGAGAAACTTTAGCTCAACATTCGCCCACGTCTAATTTGACACCGAAATATAAAAAATATATGAAGAACAAGCACCAAAAAGGAAAACTTTTTTTTGTTCAGTTAATGGTGAGGACTACAAAGTATTTTCCATTCATGAGCTGCATACTGCCTTGGGGCAGGATCATGGCACTGCTACAGGCGCTGATAACATTTGTTATCATTAGTTTAAGCAGAGAAATAAACTGCAAGAATACATTCGATCACATCTGTAAGACTGGTAATGTTAGTGCGAAACGCTGTCATCATTCCAGTACCAAAACCCACTCGTGATCATAGTGATCCATTCTAATTATAGGTCAGTATCGCTTACTAGTTGTGTTTTGTAAGACCATGGAAAGAGTGGTCAATAACAGATTAATATGGGTTTGAGAGGACGTTTGTCAAATTTCATAGGACAGTTTTCAACAGACAGGCATTTCCAGGTTCGTGATCCACCTTGTTGGCTCTTCACGATCAGGATCAGGGTGTCCCACAAGGTAGCATATTATCGGTAACGTTGTTTAGCATGTAAATATATGGTTTATCTAAGGTTTCAAACGACTCTGTCGGTGGGTCATTATTTGTTGAAGATTGTAATATTTCACGTCGGCGCAAAATATGCAGACGTTTGAGACTCAGCTGCAACTTTATCTGAACATAACATATGACTGGTTATACAGAGGGTAATGCCTCTCAACGGGTAATGCCTTTCAAGATGTAATGCCTTTTAAGGGGTAATGCCTTTCAAGGGGTAATGACTTTCAACGGGTAATGCCTTAACAACGGGAAAGGACTTTCAACGGGTAATGACTCTCAACGGGTAATGCCTTTCATAGGGTAATGCCTTTCATAGGGTAATGCCTTTCAACGGGTAATGCCTTTCATAGGGTAATGCCTTTCATAGGGTAATTCCTTTCAACGGGTAATGCCTTCATAGGGGTAATGCCTTTCAACGGGTAATGCCTTCAACGGGTATGCCTAATTCCTTTCAACGGGTAATGCCTTCAACGGGTAATGCCTTCAAAGGGTAATGCCTTTTAAGGGGTAATGCCTTTCAAGGGGTAATGACTTTCAACGGGTAATGCCTTAACAACGGGAAAGGACTTTCAACGGGTAATGACTCTCAACGGGTAATGCCTTTCATAGGGTAATGCCTTTCAACGAGTAATTCCTTTCAACGGGTAATGCCTTTCAACGGGTAATGCCTTTCATAGGGTAATGCCTTTCAAGATGTAATGCCTTTTAAGGGGTAATGCCTTTCAAGGGGTAATGACTTTCAACGGGTAATGCCTTAACAACGGGAAAGGACTTTCAACGGGTAATGACTCTCAACGGGTAATGCCTTTCATAGGGTAATGCCTTTCAAGATGTAATGACTTTCAACGGGTAATGCCTTAACAACGGGAAAGGACTTTCAACGGGTAATGACTCTCAACGGGTAATGCCTTTCAAGGTGTAATGTTTTGAATGTTTCCCCCCCTTTCACAGTCCCAGAAACACTAAAACTTCTTAGGAAGTCTAAACCGACTTGCTGTGTACTCGACCCAATTCCAACTAACATTGTACTGAGTTGTATGGATATCCTCCTTCCCACTTTGACATCAATCATCAACTGCTGCCTGCATGAAGGTACAATGCCCTTTTCTCTGAAAAATGCCATTGTGAAGCCACTCCTCAAAAAGCCTGACCTTGACACAGAAAATCTCAAGAACTACAGACCTGTTTCTAACCTACCATTCCTCTCCAAGCTCATCGAAAGAGCTGTTGCAGAACGTCTGTCACAGCACTTGACCCAGCACAACCTGTATGATCCACTTCAATCAGCGTATCGCACTCGACATAGCACCGAGACAGCTCACCTCAAAGTCGTCAATGACCTGAGACGTGCCATCGACTCGGGGAATGTTGCTCTGCTTGTTCTCGTGGACTTGAGCGCGGCTTTCGACACCATCGACCACCAAAGACTGCTGCAGTGACTTCAGGACGATTTTGGTATCCAGGGTTCTGCACTAAACTGGTTTCCCTCCTATCTGTCTCAGAGATCACAGTGTGTGTACATAGATGGACAGTTCTCAGATTCAGTACATCTAAACTGCGGTGTGCCTCAAGGTTCAGTATTGGGCCCGATATTATTCACTCTTTATACAAAGGAATTGGGTCAAGTCATCGACCAGCACAAGTTGCCAAGACACCTCTACCCTGATGATACGCAGCTCATGAAAATGTTCCGACCAATAGCATCCACAGCAGAAGCAGCCTCTGCCGATGTTACCAACTGCTGTACACAGATAAAAAGCTGGATGAACATCAATAAACTCAAGCTTAACGACGACAAGACGGAGTGTATGCTAATAGGCCCATCTGCAAGATGTACCCAGTCAGGTCTCACCGCAGTTCAGATCGGAAGCTCAAGCATTGATGTCACTCGGTCTGTGAAGAACTTGGGTGTTTTTTTGGACTCAGAACTGTCCATGAAGCAACTTGTCAGTCACATCTCCAGAGTCTGCTCTTTCCAGTTGAGGAATGTCAGCAACATCAGAAGGTACCTGACCAAAGAATCTCTTATCATCCTGATTCTCACCCTGGTAACATCTAGGCTTGATTACTGTAACAGCCTCCTTGCCGGTGCACCCAGGTCTGATACCAACAAGCTCCAGCACATCCAGAATACAGCTGCTCGGATAGTCTCCAGCTGCAGGAAGTACGACCACATCACCCCCATCTTACATGACCTACACTGGCTGCCCATCCGACAGAGAATCAGCTATAAGATCTTGTGTCATGTGTATCGATGCCTGTCTGAAGATGCTCCACAATATCTGTGTGATTTGATCACGGAGTACAAACCAGCTCGATCACTGCGGTCAGAAAACAAGCTCTTGTTGCAAGTTCCATCTGTGAAATCTGTGAACTATGGACAACGTTCCTTTGCTTTGCATTGAGCATGGATTAATGCGCTATATATATTCACTATAATTATTATTATAATGACTTTTAACGGGTAATGACTTTCAACGGGTAATAGCTTTCAACGGGTAATGCCTTACAAGGGGTAATGACTTTTAATGGGTAATGACTTTCAACGGGTAATGCCTTACAAGGGGTAATAACTTTCAATGGGTAATGACTTTCAAGGAGTAATGACTTTCAACGGTAAGGATTTCAACAGGAATGGACTTTCAACGGGTAATGCCTTTCAAGGGGTAATGACTTTTAACGGGTAAGGACTTTCAACGGGTAATGCCTTTCAACGGGTAAGGACTTTCAACGGGTAAGGACTTTCAACTGCCTAAATTTAAAACGGGTAAAATGCCTTTCAGCGGGTAAGGACTTTCAACGGGTAAGGACTTTCAACTGGTAATGCCTTTCAACGAGTAATGGCTTTCAACGGGTAAGGACTTTCAACGGGTAAGGACTTTCAATGGGTAAGGAGTTTCAACAGATAAGGACTCTCAAGGGGTAGTGCCTTTCAACGGGTAAGGACTTTTAACAGGTAAGAACTTTCAACTGGTAAGGACTTTCAGCGGGTAATGGCTTTCAACTGGTAAGGATTTTCAACGAGTAATGCCTTTCAGCGAGTAAGGACTTTCAACGGGTAATGGCTTTCAATGTGTAAGGACTTTCAACTGCCTAAATCTACAACAATTTGCATCCATTTCTGTCGAAAATATAATCCACCCAGTGACCCCGACTTACATCTAACGACAAATAAAGTAATAATTCTTGGGTATCATATTTGATCAACATCTTGGTTCGTTGTGGGCGAGCTAAGGCGCCAGGCTAGTGATCCAGCGAGTTTAAGGTGCCGGGATCGAGCCCACCTGTGACCGGGTGTAAAAACTTTGGCGTCAAGTTTGCGTGCAGACTCTTTCAGTATTGTCACAACCCCTAGTGTACAGTACACAACCCTGTGCACATTAAAGAACCCACGAATTCGATGGTAAATGACCAGATGTGGCCCCATGAATACGTGCAAACACCCAGTTGCGGGTACAGCAACGTGCAGTGAACTTGGACAAAGTACTGTGACTATGTGTCCCAGTCCACCCAGTTGTGAATGGGTACCTCGTAAGGATGGGAAAGTCACATTAACTCGGTGCGCCTAGTAGCTGCAGGAGTTGTGTGATCCCCAGGGGGTTGAGATTGATAATACGATGTGCCGTTGAGTTTGACATCCAGTGATCGAGGCAAAATCAAAAAGCGGTGAGAGCATGCATGTAGATGGGATGGACTATAGCGCTATATAAATACCCATATAATAATAATGATCTTACGTTTTTATCAAATATCTAAAGGCTAAGTTTCTGAAGGCACTGGATTTATTAAAATATTTACACAGCAGTCGTAATTCCGAACAATCTAATAGGATTTTCCGGTTCATCGATCACTTGATTGTCTGGTTTGTTTACAGGCCGCAGTCGGCAGGGGTGCTGCTGTGTAGCGTCAAATAAATTGTACTGTCATTTGTAGGTGAATGGCAGGTGTTACTGATAAGACAGGACACGGTTACCTTTTCGCGAACACCTGGTGTCATCACTGATTTCCAGTGATCCATTCATATAATTCTCACAGCTATTTTCCCCTTTGACACCAAACTGAAATTGTATCTGAGGATAGTGAAGACTGGGTATTCTTTTGCACCTACGTTCTATATTACATTCAAAACTCAGTTACATAGCTATCATTTGAATATCTTTCAAATAAAGGTCACTATCGTAATTCATGTATCGTAAACATGGAATATTATCATCATCACCGTCGTTTATTATACAGTCCATTCGAGCTTTGAAATATTCAGTCAATGGAAGTCATCCATCGGGAAACTCTCAAGCAAGTAATGCTCCATATAACCAATGCTTTTGTATACGAACATCTGTCAATACAGAGCTGTTCTCTGGATCCACATACCGTATTTCCTCCAGGCCCGGCGCTTATTAGAAGCCAGGCGCTTATTGAAGACCCGGCGCTTACTGGGTGTACTGTAATTCTGTAAGTGAGCGTTACGTCCAAGTTAGGGGCCATTCCTTAATAAATCTATTTTGGGATCAAGGGAGAATACGTTAATAAAAAACGTACCCGGCGCTTATTTCTTAAACCGCTGCTTTACTCCCGGCGCTTATTAGAGGGAATACGGCACACAAATCCTACTAAAACATAAACACTGGAGTTGAAGCATCCCGAATCAGTTCAGAGAAGAATGTTGTCACTATATACTCTCCCACAAAAGAAACGCATCATGAAAATAGCAATTTCATGTAGCAATAAATTAAAACGTGATTCATTTTACAAAAGGTTTTGCTCTGTTTATGAGTCCTATGGTGTTTATGTTTTGAAACGTCACAACAAAACGCACCATCCGTAAAATACCCGTATTTAACAGCATGATTTTCAATTTCGGCGTGTAGTGTCACAGAATACACAATTCACATGCAATGCACGTGAAAGTTGGGGATCAGATAGTCTCAATGATGGGTATAAAAGGTTGATCGCTGTCTGTCCATTATTCACTGTATTTGGAATATTGTTGACGAACGCAAAATGCCACGTCTAAGTGAAGCCAACCGTCATATCGCCATCGGTTTGCTTAAGCTGGCCAGTCAAGTCAAAGATGTTTATTGTACAAAAGGCCTCCGGCCCATATACATTGGAGTTATACATATACATTATACATATGGTGCATAAGTAGTAATTAGTGATCTAAACAGTAAATCATGATACAGGCAGTAAATTAAGTACAGGTAGTGAAATACGATGGACCTACAACACTTTTTATCAGAATGTTACGTTTAATAAGAGCATAAGTGATATGGTACGACAGCTTTATTATTACATGTTGGTCAATTGACGAAAGAAGTAGTTTAAATGCTAATGTAGGTGGCTTACATAGAAAATATTCAGCTATATATTTCGTACGCAAATCTTTATACAAAGGACATACAAGTAAAAAATGGATTTCATTTTCCACATCTATATTACACAGTGGGCACATTCTCTTGCATCGTTCAATATAAAAACGTCTTCCTTCGTTTACCATTATGTTGATCAAACCTAACCTAAAACGTATAAATGGATATCTTAATTTCATTGATGTTAAAAACGACAGATATTTCTCCGGCTGGAGTAGTGATTTGTATATTCTATAAGAGTCGTACCGTGAACTATTATGTATTACTGAATACCATTCTTGATTAAACATATTAAGACTTCTTTTTCGAAACTGAGTTAAAAACAAACTTGCATCACCAACTGACTGACTTAACCATACAAAACCATAACCATGTGAAACGTGCAGTTGCCATACGCATGGATGTTCACCAAAGCACCATTTCACGGCTCTGGGAGAGATATCGCCGGCAGAACGCGGTAGCAGATGTCCCTCGTAGTGGGCGACCTCGAGCGACCACTGCGGCGCAGGATCGCTACATACGGGTACTTCACCTGCGTCATCGAACAGCTACGTCGACCAGTACCGCTCGACAAATACCCGGATTGAGGAGGCTTTCTGCACAGACCGTCAGTAACAGGTTAAGAGAGGCTGGTTTACGTGCCAGGAGACCTTATTTTGGCCCTGTGCTTCGACAACAACATCGTCGACATCGAGTTCAATGGTGTACCAACGTTCAGGCCTGGAACCTACCGAATTGGCGTAGAATCTGGTTCAGTGATGAATCACGATTTCTATTGGAACGACGCGATGGAAGAATGCGGGTGTACAGACGTCGACGTGAACGTTTCGCCGACGCTTGCGTTCCCCAGGTGGACAGATTCGGCCGGGAAAGTGTTATGATGTGGGGAGAAATCACCTGCCGTAGGAGAAGTGATTTGGTGATGATCCAGGGCAACCTGACAGCTCAACGGTACTGTGACGAAATCCTACGCCCACACCTCCTTCCAATCATTGGTCGCCAGAGGGAGTTGTTTCAACAGGATAATGCCAGGCCCCACACAGCACGTCACACTAGAGACTTCCTCCAGAACCACAACATCAATGTGCTCCCCTGGCCCTCAAAATCACCGGACTTAAACCCGATCGAACATCTGTGGGACGCCCTGGACAGACGGGTGCGACGCCGTAACCCTCAGCCCCAGACACTTCAGCAACTAGCACAGGCACTACAGGCAGAGTGGGCTGCGATTGGGCAACACGAGATTCTGAGGCTTATTCGTTCGATGCCGAGGCGATGCTGTGCAGTTCTGGATGCCCACGGTGGTCACACGAGGTGTTGACTTCAGCGGTACCACACGTCTCCATGTGACACTCAAACTGACTTTCCTCGAGTTGGTGCCAAAGACGGATAAGTCTGCATTCCCAGTGTGCAATTTCGCTATATTTCATTGACTCACGGTTCGTACAAGCTGAAACAGTTTTTCTGATCAAGACAAGGAATAGGTCTTTGCTGTTATAATCACAATGGTTCCATGCTTGATAACGGTGTTAGAACCTACACCGAAACGTCGCTCTCACAGCAATAAAGAAGTTGTTCATCCATATATTGTCATCCTTCCTTTTTCATGTGTGTTAAATATCTCACCTATTGATTAACATCTTACTTGTCTTTCTTTCATAAAGTTTCTGTTGAGATGTGTAAAAGAGTATGATACCCATAGAAAAAACTTAAATCAGCCATCATATTAAATGTCTTAAAATATATAGGTGACATGATCGAAGATCGACAGGACTGGATATTATTTGTAAATTGTTATGACATGCCGTTTACTTCGTATAGGTTAATCACCCTTACAAGGAAGTTATTTAAATAAACTCTGCGAGGGTTTGCCCGAGCAGAGTTTATTTAAATAACTACCGTAGTGAGGGAGATTAAACGGCTTACACCACGAAGGCATACGCGTGTAATGTATTAGGCATGATGAAGATGATCAAAATGGGTACAATTATATTGTTTTTAAATAGAAATAATTGCCCTAGGGCGGTTATTCAGTT